CGACGTCGGTAAAGTCACTAATGCTCCGGCCGATTTTTTTTTTTTTTAATCGTTGTTCAAACGCTTGACGAATGTCTATTTGATCTCCAGGAACCGGACATAATCATCGCAGCACGTCATAAAATGCTCGCCCTCGAGCACCGCGTACAAGCTTCCAATTTTTGCGTGTTTCTCCCTCAGACTTGCGTGTATTGCCTCAAGGTTTAATAGGCCAAAACAACAAGGACGAAAACGAAGAGAGAACTAGACAGGACGCGGTGTATTGCCTGTCGTCAAGCAATGGCCGCCGTTGAGGCCAGTGACGGGCTCCCGATTCGCGATCCAGACTTGTACAGTGAGAGTTCTAATGCATTACACCCGCGGAGTGCTGCACGGAGAACAGGCCCCGAACGAACTTGCCGAATGCACCGAGTGCAGACTGATGCTGTCACCATGGATGTTGTAGAAAAGTACCGACCTCAAACCGAAACTAGCGCCTTTTTTTTCAACGTGATGGGTGGGAATGCGAGAGTGCCCAGTCGCTGCCATCGTTTATCTATAAACGTTGGTTGCTGCAGCGTGGAGCTTACATTTGCGATGACTTCCAATTAAGCAACTCGGCTGTCAGAGATATCTACAGACGGCGTAAGTTTCCGAAACCAGCTGACTACAAAACAGAAAAAAACAGTTAGGGCGCAGGCGAGCTGGTGTAAGTTTACCATTTTTTACCACCTGAGACTGGGTGGCCTTCTTTATACTGAAAAATCCTCCACAATTTCTGACTTCTCCATGCTTTGGCACCGTTTCGTCTGCTTCACGTAATCACCACCAGTGGCGCACCTCCCCATACAATGAAGATGATGACTGCCTGCTGCGGCACTGCTACTGCCGCAACGTACGTAATTCCAATATTTCGGAACGCATATTTCAGAGCGGGTGAGCAACAACATATTATTGTGGAACACGAACGCTCGCACCGTAAAGAGTGTTGTGCAAGGCGAAGACTCATACCGTAAAGAGCGTCGTACAAACAGTAGGTGTGTGAAGGAATGAATGCCATTAGAGCTTGACGACGGAACCTGACGAAACAAGACCTTCGAATTACCTTCTGACATAACAACATGTAGGGATGTAGGGACAACATGTAGTTTCCAAATATGAATAGATGTAGGGAAAAGTAGGTATGACCCAGCACAAAGTACATGCCAGACAGATTAGTAGGGGGTAAACATTCACAATCTCAAAAGAGCGAACACTAAAAGTTTTTATTGCTGAGGTCAAAGACCATGCGAAAAGCAGGTGAATAAGAATCGCAACGGCCAGGGTCCTTTCGGGTTTCATTCACTACAAAGTTCCTTAAGCAGTGCGGAAGGTGTTAGCTGTGTCAGGGCGCACCTTTCGTAATGACGTACTGCGCCTGTCGACAGGCACCCTTCACCAACGTTATAGAGCAACGTTACTGGAGCAACTTGCTCCAGTAACGTTGACCGTCACCACTTCGAGCTGTGAGAAGGCGCTAGGCGGTCAGCCACTCAAACAGCACAAAAAGATGCCGCGGAAGGGTATTCGCAGCATTCATGGCCTATAAGAGGAGCAGTATACTCTGTTTCCTACTTAGTGTGCAACGCTGTCAAAGCTACTGGCGCGAGCGCGTGGCTTCATCTATGGTTTTGTTTGCGCGAGAACCCGTGTAAATGATCAACGAGATCAAGCCCCATGCTCGCACGGGCGCCAGTAGCTTTGACAGCGTTGCACACTAAGTATGAAACAGAGTATTGGCGACGTGATCGATCGAAAGCGTCGCAGTGGTCGGCCTTCCACGATTGGCCGAATGCTGACTTTGACGTCAGCAAAGGATTTCCCATCGACGGAAATAAGAGTAATGTAAGAACTTCGATTTTGACGGTGTTGGCAGTATTGGTTTAAAAGCGCAATGATTTCCAGCTTCCACCATGCTCATTACAAACACCATCGAACTTGTTGTTCCCAAGGTAATGACGTCACGAGGGATAACCATAGGAGGGCGCCACCCAAACATCTCGCCGCTAATAGTTCCTATTAAGATGGATGTCATCTGGATGATGGTTTTAGAACAGCAGCTCCGGCGCTCAAGTAATTATAGTTTTGTGAAATACGAACTGTATAAGAGCCTTACCTCATACTTCCACGTCAGGAAGGTGGAAGCAAATACGTTCGCTGTTAAGCCGATCACCCAGGAGCTTGTGAGTGCGATTCTCACACCGCGTTGCCACCATCGCAGAAAGTTCCGAAAATGGTCTGATGCAGCTTCGGCGACAGGGAGGGCCAAACCAAGCTCGGATTTGAGTGAAGCCTCAGCAGGATGGATTCTGAGGTTTCACTCAAACTTGCTTTAAGGAAGGCCTGTTTATGCAGGCCTTTCTTAACGCCCGTTGCAAAGGGTGCCTACTTTATACTTTGGAGTAGTTGAAGGTGGAATTTGGGTCGCAGTTTTTACTCAAAATGGGCTTCAGTCACTTCTTACGGTTCCGGGTTTGGCTTGGGGTCTCAACAAATGACAGTCCTGGCACCTCCTTTGACGAGTCTGCATAAAACGCAACAAAAGCTGGCAATTGGAAATTGGTGATTGGGAAGGCATTATGGGACGTCAAAGGTTGGAGCATGCTCCAATCTTTGACGCCCCAGCTAACCTTGGCCCCAGCGAACTCCAGGTGGAGTTTGAGAAGAAAAGACGCTTTACACACGCACCAGATTAGAGCCGTCATTGTTGACCTTCTCTTGTCTTATCGAAATACCAAGCCACTAAAGCGGGCCTTGACGAGCCTCCACAAAGATCAATGCTGGGGTGAAGGACAAAGTCGAGTCTAAAATGGAAATTACTTGTCTTGCTGTGGTAATAATGGAGTGAAGCGATCAAAATAAGAGGAAACACAAACTGAAGGTCGGTTATGAAGGCACCCATACACAGCTGCTGCAAAGCATCACCATAATGAAAACAAAAGAAAGAAAAAAACACCACCCTGCACGATGGCACGTTTACCGCTCGAGCTCTGAAAGGAACGCTCTTTGCGACGTGACCTCACAGACCAAAGGGATCTCCCAACTGCGTCAGTATTCTTTTCCGTTAGCATCCGATTACCATCGACGTCGCAAAACTTCTTGCGTAAACATCGCTTTTTTTCCCCTTTCATCGGAGCGATGAGAAAAATTCCGAGAAATTGAACATAGATACACGATCCGCACTGATGACCATGGCCAACCTTGACAAAAGCGGTGAGTACGTCTTTAAATGGTAAAGCTACCGTCCCCTCGTCTAAGGTAAGGCTGTCGATACGGGCGTGCAAGGCCATTAGGATGTTTATCGTTGCAGTTTTCTTTAGCGCGGATGTGGGGCGTGCGTCAATGGCCGATCATCATTTCAGCGTAATTTATTTTTCGCTCTCGCCTCCTCCTCTCTCTCTCACTTTCTACCGGCATAGATATTTTACTAAATCACCCGATCCCCAGGGAGTATGCCGCGATTGTATATTCACTGGCAGGCTATGTTTGCAGTGAAAGATCCGCCTTCCAGCACAGGCTGGTTGCCTCTCGCTGGGTTTGGCCGGCCGTTCAATGCTGTGTTACCAGACACAAAATGCTCGCGCAAAACGCGTTGCTCTTACTGCATTCTTGACCCTGTCCTATACTTACGCGAACTGCACATAGGGGTGGCTGCAGCGGTAACTTCTCTAAAGCAAAAGTATAACAAAAGGCCTATTCTCACATATATTTCTTAAAGTCAATTTCATCAATTTAGTAATTTAATTGTTTTATACATAGATACTGGCAAATCGATGGTTAAAGATAACTCCGGTCAAGGTTCGAGCCGAGATAAATGACTGGTATCTATTTACCGAGACTACACACTAGCAGTGTCAAAATATTACGCTAATGGGAAACTGCGATTCCCTCTAAAGCCGATTTTTAAAATGCTACCACGAGCTTCTCAGCGGCCATTCAGTGAGTTGGCTGTTTGTCAAGTAACATTCTGCCCCGATGACATGTTTGTACTCAATGAGGTTACTTGTTCGTACTGCCACTTCTTTCGACACGTTTTCCTGTTGCCTTTTCCGCCGTACCAGCGGGCGATTTCTGCTTGTTACGTTGTTTTTGCGGCCGTAGGTTGTAAATGCTCCTCAGCGATCGCGGTCGAATATTAGTGACTTCCTGCTCGCTCAAGCGCGTCGTGGTGGCGAAGGTGGCATTCACTGGCTGCCACAGTTTAGTCCGTTCCTGCTCAGCGCGAGCTTACAATTAGCTTTCATAACGCTTGTTCAACGTGCATTGCACACCACCGAGATTGTAGCTATTCTCAGAAGATACATGGTTGTCGTTCTGAGCCTCCGCTGGCCTGGCTGTTCATTGGGCCACACAAGCTTTTCGGCAGGCAAATTTATGAATGCGTATAATATTTGCTACAGATGTTTCGCGTCTACGAAGCAAAGCAGTAAAACAGCCGGAGCATCTTACCTGATTGAGTGGAACGGCTCTTGGGAATATAGCCAGTCGAACGTTTTGCAGCACTGCGGTACGAACCTTTCGTCACACGATTGACATGCAGCTGATCACAAGGGTCGCCATCATGCTTGAGCCGGTAGTTTTGGTTTCGCCTAGGCCCCTGAAACAAAAGCTTTAGGTATCATATCTACAAAACTACTCAAGGGATCAGAAAAAATATTGCACCTTATAATTCAGGGATACTTCCTTCAGTAAAAAGTCGTACCCCTAAAATCGGAAAGAGGTAACGGAGTTACTTTTTAATTTGTAAAACACGCTGTATTCCTCGATGACAGATGCGCGTAGAGGGTGGAATGTTTACATGAAATGGTCGCTATCAGCGAAAAGCATAACCCATGTTATGCTTACATAACAATACAATACACGACGCGATACACGACACTTCATGACGCTTCGTGACGCTTATAGATATATATACTTATACATGACGCTTCGTGATCAAGCGCGTGATGACGGTAAGGGTGGGTCGGACTCCTTTCGCACCATCAAAATCCGCGTCCGCTGCAGACGGTGCTTCGCTTTACCCCATGCGGATGAACAGAGGTGAATACCAATTTATAAGAAGCTCTGCCTCCAGCGCGACCTTCCTGTCTTCCATACGACTTGCAAAAAATTTGCCATCTTGGTATGGTGGCTATAGCTACCATAATCCCGGCAAATCAACCGGCGTTTCTACAAACCTATGACAAGTAGAATTTTTAGAGCGCAGCTCTCAGGCGCCCATTTCCGCGTTTCGTGGCGTGGGCGTCGGCGTCGGCGTCGGCGTAATCGCCCCGCTAAATTTAACGGGGAAACTGAATTGGTGTTGAGGTCACATGACGTCGATTTCCCCGCTAAAGGTACGTTTATACTACAACGTAACGTCGACGGGCGCGGCGTACCGCCCAGAGCACAGGTACTGATTGGTCGCAGATATCGAGTTCCTGGCTGCCGGTCAACGAAAGGCGCACGTCCTGCGCTACGCTGCGTTCACTGCGTTCAACGTCGGAGTATAAACAGCCCTTAAATTTAGCTGGGAAACTTCAACCCGCAAAATTTAGCGGGGAAATTTTCCCGCTACAAGTTTCGCCGTTAAATTTAGCGGAAAAATGGCGTCACATGACTTCGTGTCACGTAACGCCATTTCCCCGCTGACCGAAGGTGCTCTCCGCGAACCATTGGTCAGCGAAGCGGAGGAGGAGAAGAGGAAAAGGAGATGAGGGAAGGAGGAGGGAGAGGAAGAGGAGGAATGGAGGAGGAGGAGGAAAGGAGAAGGATGGGAGTGAAGGAGGAAAGGAGGAGGGGAGGAGGAGGAGGAAAGGAGGAGGAGGAGGGGGACAAGGCGGCAGAGGGGAGGGGGACGGGAGGGTACGGAGGAGGAGAAAGGTATACCCTCCCCTCCGCGCTCTCTTCTCCTCCTCCTCAAAAGCTGTGCTCTAGTTTCGGTTACAATTGAAAACGAGCGTGTTGGTTAATAGATACAAAACTTGAAAGTATAAAACAGAGAGGACGAGGACGAGAACAGGACATCTTTCATGATGTCCTGTTCTCGTCCTCGTCCTCTCTGTTTTATACTTTCAAGTTTTGTATCTAGTTTCGCATTAGAGAGATTTGTAAACGTCTTTAATTTTTCTTTAGTTTGCTCACTTATTGTACGCCACGCTCTATTGGCGACGTGTGCGGCCAAAAGCGTCGCTGTGATTGGCCTTTCAGGATTGGCAAAACTCTGATGATGACCTTTTGAGTATGATTAGCTCTATTTTTAACAATGGAAAGAGAAGGTACGTCAGATTGTAAGCTTGGACTGTGACGTGATGATTATTAGTGACTAATGTCACTGGATCCTGGGGAAGCAGCGCCAAGCTCCCCGTATGGTCGCCATTTTGGTTCATAGAATGAACCGTTAATTCTTGATCTGTTCATTCTTGGTGAGCCGATCTAAATTCGTTGATGACGGGTATCTTTATTGAGACGTTTCTTGAACCCCAAGATTTCGTTATCCACACACCGGCGAAACAAGCGCACATCTACGCACCGCCACCAAATGTGGCGTCGGTGCTTGGCGGCATTGAAAAATAACTATCCTGTCATTAAATACCCAAGAAGAGCAATACCATTGTAAGACATCTGAATTAGATAATTATCATTGACAAGTGGATTGCACACACAGCGTCGAAGACGCTTTTAGTACAATGATACTCCATAGCGATATTGGTTATACTGGTTCACAACGACCTTTTCGAAGCTTCGAGGATTTGACCGGACCGAAATGGCAATTCCCATGGCAGCTGAGACAAATCAGCCATTCACCTAGCGATGTACGGTTGTCTATATATGCTTGTATTTCTTTTTGTACGACTAGCAGGCAGGGAATGCAATGGCACTACTTTCCTAGGATCCAGTGACTTTAAATAACATCTGCCCATTTTGTTCCGCACGTCTATACACTCCGTGCGGGAACTATAGGGGGCGCTTTGAAAAACGCGCGCAGCGCCGCTAGCGGAGGAGCTGGTGTTCGACTGTGAGGCGCGTTCAGCAGCCTGCGGCGCCTTTTCGCATGCCAAACTGGCGGCGGAAGCGCGCGCGGACGAAACTTTTGCTTTTTGAGCCGATAAGTTGAGGGTGACGTTGCATGAGTGCTGGGGCAGAAGGGCATTTAGCTGTTCTCCACTTCTTATATATTGAGTTTGAGTCGTTATTAGGGGTAATTTCTCTAGTTGCGGCCGAAAAAGGAGTTGGAGCAATTTTCCGAAAAACAAGACGGCCGCCACCATAATTGCTCTGAGTGAGAAATTTATTTCGCTCGTCGCTGTAAACCTAGGACTGCTGGAACGATGATATTTGGAGGCGAGTGAGATGTTCACTAAGTTTGTGCACGAAGAGTGCCAAGTTTCTTTAAGACAGCAGGTGTGAAAGTTATGTTTCTAACGAATAAAGAAATAAAGCTGTACGGGATATCCAATATTGGACCCAAAATGTTGTGTTATAGCGGGCTGTGCAAAGTGCAGATTTGGGTAGACAGGTGCTTGGACTTGACAGTAACATGACACAGCACTTATTATACAAAAAGAAAAAGGTGGCATAGGGAAACCAGGTGAAAATTTGGTTTGGGCGGCGTAACTCAATGGGAACCGGTTTTGACCATGAAAAGGCTGTCAAGATGATACCACTGATTGTGGGAGGTGGAGACTTTACAGGTAGGAAGGGACTGGTGGAGATCTGTACTTCCAATTGAAACAACTTTACGGAAGGTGGTTCCAAAGCCGAGAAAACAAATATGTCGGCCAACACATGGTTTGGCCGCCAAGGGCTTTTGCGGTCAGCTGTTGTGTAATAACCTGTTGTGCGAGGTGCTGATTTTCGGCGCACAGGTACTTTGACATGACCGTCACTTGGCACAACACTTATTATAACAAAAAGAGTTGGCATAGCGAAACCAGGTGGAAATTTAGTTTGGGCGGCGTAACTAAATGGGAACCAGTTTTGACCGTCAAAGGCTGTCAAGATAATATCACTCATCGTGGGAGGTGCACACTTTACAGGTAAAAAGAGACCAGTGGACGGTACTTCCAGTTCGAACCACTTTGCGATAGGTGGCTCTAAAGCCGAGAAAAAAAATTGTTGTCTACAGAACTCAGGGTGTCAGCGTTTTCACATCCAAAAGGAGGCTGATCCAGAAAGAAAGCACACCACATAAACTTCCATACTCGAACGTCGATTCTCCAGTGATTCCGAGTTTCATTGTTGTTTTCTTTAGGTTTATATTTGTCACTTTTTTTACCGTTCGAATCTTTCTTCATGAAGTACAGATTGCGCGCCATACTTGTCCGGAAATATCAATGACACGTACGATGGGGACGAAACTTCTTTGGAGGGCATTCCTCCAACGAAATTGGCACTGCATACCCGCGAGTGTGGGATGGCATTTCAGTTCGTCCCATCGGCGCTTACACATGTAGGCGTTACTGGTACGAAAACAAACGCAGAGCGCAAAGCGGCAGTGTAGAATATGTCAGCCGTGATGACACAGTGGCAGACATGATCGGGAGACCAAATTTCTCGTGTCGTACGGCACGGCTCCATCGTTGTCGCTGTCCCAGAAAACATCGGCGAGGTGAAAAACTGTGAAACTTTGTCTCCACGAGGTACGGCGCATAACTATTGAAGCACTTAATGACGCAGCACAGGCAGCACTTCATGCCGTGAACCCAGCGCAACCGCACCACTCCGACTTCAATGCGTACCAAAGTACGCGGCGTGGTTTCGGTTTCGGTTTCTCCGGGGTTCTCACTGCCTACCGTCGCTACCGGCCGCGCAGCGGCGCGCCAGTCGCGTTGCACGGAGTGTATACTTCTTTTTTTGTTATGAAGCGCGTGAAAAACCGGTTCCTGCACGTGTTCTCTTCACGTCGGTGGTGGGTTCTTAAACAAAACAACGACTACACCGCTGGGGTTGCTGAGGCATCGTTCCCGACCCTTTGGGCAGGTGGAGAGCAACACCATGTTTGTTTGTTGTTCTTTTTTTTTCTTTTTTTTTTGTATCGTCCCGTTGCGCGCTCATTTTGGCGTTTGGTCCACCATGGCTTCCGGGGTTCGGGCATGTGGAAGTTTACGTCTGGTGGCCTGTGCCCTTGTCGGGGCTTCGCCCTGCTCCTGTTGTCAGTCAGCGAACTGGCTCTCTGGCAGAATAGACGGATCTCACTAAGCGTTCCACGCATGCGTGACGCCGCCATAACTATAGTTCACAGTAGGCAATCGGCAGTGCACGAGACGGTTCATGCTGTCTCGTGCTCTGCACGCGCAGATCTTCAGTAAGGTTGTCGCACGCGCACAAAGACTAACTTTCCTGCGATGCATTGCGGCAGTGGTGGCGTACCCAAACGGGCTGGTAACATCGGTCTATTGTTGCAAAGGAAACAACAGCGACGTAAATACAGGGACAATAAAACGAACGGAAACTGGATAAGGAGCACTCTCAACTAAAGTTTATTGGAAATAACCTGGTCAATAAAACCCGAAATTCAAGTGCTATTCGCCCGGTTTGGGAGGATACGCTGCAGAAAGTGCCTACAAAAGCCACATTCGGACTGCTGCACAATACACAGATGTCTGTTGGGAGCGAGTCCAGACTTGGCTGGTAAAGAAGGCCGCTGCCAACGTCAAGAACCAAAAATATGTCACCATTTTAGGGGGTGCTACATTACCACCAAACATCAACTCAGCCTTGGACCACGATCCAAAGTTCAGGCAGGAACCGAGATTGTTCCCCATCACTTAGCTGTCTCTGGTGAGATGGATGGGCGGCATGACAATACCTGAGCACAAGGAACGATGCGTGTCTGACGGCGTGCACGTTCTGCAACGCACAGCAAGTCAATCAACAAGACTCTTCCAGTGATTTTACTAGCCACTACCGTGCTTTCTTAAATGCCATAGAAATTGCCGCTGGCAATCGATAACCCTGTTTCTGTCGTCACGATAAGAACCGTAAGAGGAATCCACCAATACATCTGGTCGCCAATAACCAACGCCCATAGTGATGCGTTTCATTCCTAGGAAGTCCAAATGCTGATTCCAAGAGATAACAAGTGTCATTCATTTCCTTTTCGCTCACAACTAAGAACTTGAAAAAAGCTGAAACTTTTTTTTGTGCTTTAATGATTTTTGCTGGCGTAGGTTTTCCTAGAGAATCTAAATATCACTATCATTTGTCCTCAAAACGACAATGAACGTGAAGAAAATCGGAAGAAAAACATACAGCCGCTCGTTGCCGCCGAACGTCATTGGTTGGTCGAGTCGTGACGTCATAAAATGACAAGGCGTGATTCTAATTGCATTTTTCCCACAACGATCAACTGGCACTCCTTGCCTCCTTTCGCCTCCGCTTCGCGTAAGCTCCTCGGCTTCGCTGGGGGCCTACCTCTACTGTAGAAATGTGCTGGGAACTGCTGGATTAGCAACCATTTACTGAAGATAAACATTTTCTTTTTCCACACCCATTCGTTTCGAGATACAAAACTGTTGGGTGTGGAAGAAGATCTTCAGTAAATGCTCGCTAGTCCAGCAGTGTGTTTGTCCTCTTTTCTCTCTATCTATCTATCTATCTGTCTCTCTCTCTCTCTTTTCGTGTATCTTCCTTGTACGTTAAGCTAAACTTCGTTTCACCTTACGTCCGAGCGTGGCCGCTGTTATGAGCACAAAGGCCAATTAAGCACCGCAAAAAACGGAGCTTCATGGTGTGCTCTTGGCGCTTGATAAGACTAGCCGGCGGAGGAGCACGCACAGAGAGACGGCGAATACCGGCTGGTCCTATCAACTGCAGAGAACACGCCATGGACGTTGTGCCTCTTTCGCCGTTTGATTGGCCCTTCTGCTCATAACATCGGCCGCGCTCGTATCTAAGCTGAAACGAAGTATAGCATCTTTCAGAAGTATGAATCGCCAACTAGCTCAGTATTGACGACACACGAAGCCGGCTCTGCGAATCGAGGAGCACGCGCGAGGAACCTTTTGTGACGTCACGTTTTTGCGTTTCCTTTTATCGCCCTCCCCCGCTGCCGCGGAGCGGCGTGGTTTCAACGGAACATCGAAGGCGTGTCTTTAGGTATCGCGGGCATGAAATAGCTTACTTGTTCACAAATTTATTATGCCTGAAGTCGGATTAGAAAGGATCAAGTGTTTTTAATCAAATTCAAAAGCTCTTGGGCTTCCCTTTAATGATGGTGCACACATACATTGTGCACAAAACGCATTCGCAAATGATGGCTTTGAAAACTGTAAGTGCGATGAGCCATCGCGGATCACGTTTCGGCCTTTTTGGTGTTTCTTTCGACCCGTGAGTTTCTTTAAGTACTTGCCAGCTTCATAGTTAGTGACAACTTAAGAAACGCAGGCGTAGTGCGTGACGTATGATGTTCATGCTTCTTGTTTTGTCATTTGTTCTTTGGCATTTTTGGGACCAAAAAGTGTGTCTGTGTGTGTGTGTGGGCGGGGGGGGGGGTGGATATGGATATGTTGAAAAAACGGGAAAAGAAGAATGCAATATTTTTTTAATCAAAATGCCGCTTTTAAATTATCATATCAAGAGTGTGCCGCGCACGACGCTCAGAGCCAAGGGGGCCGGCGAGCTGATTTGCCCATTGCTCTCATATGAATCGACTCAGTACCACTGAAACTGCTATCAGACCGCACTATAAGAATTCGGTGGAACAGTAGAAGCACGCGAAAATAAATACCGTTTCATTTCTTTTCTTTAATTTTTAGCAGCTATGGACAAGAGAAAGGCGTCGGGAAAGATGCTGGTGCTGCTCTTTCCGAAGGTACGTGCAAAAGCGCCACCCGATCTTCCTTTTTTTATCGCTTGCAAGGCAAAAAGGCAAGTGCTTATCCATGCCTCCACTGCACAGGCGCCTACATAGCGGCGTGTATAGGGGGAGCGGGACATTCGTTCAGGTTGCCCCATAAACAGCGATAGAGCGCCATTGCCCTAACGGAGAGTAGGCGTCGCCCGCAAACAAGTGTGCCTCTAGCGACGACCAGCGCCTATTTCCTTAGCTGTGTAACATTGTATGTTGCAACATATGAACCGCAAGGGAGACTCCATTCTCAAGAGAAATAAGTAGTGTTACTACGCTACTTTTTACAAACTAATCATTTTCAACTTCACATAAACAAATGCCTAAATAGATATATGATTGGGAAGATAGATGGATAAATACACCTCAATCCCTTCAGTCGGGCGGCAGCTTTTATCACCTAGCCATTGTTTCACACTTACAGAGTTGTGAACACCTTTCCAGCGCCCTTATCACTGAAGCCAACAAATAACCTCTCACTAAGCACAGGAAGCATTCGTGGAATCGGATAATCCGCAGAATAAGACTACTCCGCAAGTTCAGAACGCGTTACGTCGCGCAGAAGGCTATACTTGGAATAGTTTGTAAACAGCCTTGACGCGCCTTGGAGAACCACAGAAGCCCCTTGTCACCGCCCAGGGCGAAAATAAAACAAGTGTTTCTTCTCTTTTCGCATTACTGCACCAGTGAGTTGATCTCTGCTTAGTTCTCTCCAGCTTCTCGGAGTGTGTTTTCGTTCGCTGTTCTTAACTAAATAATTCTGCCTCTACTAAATGGTTTCCTCTTTTGGCCACTGAAGGTATTTGAATAGAGTATCACCTGTACAGCGTTTTCATCCTCCTATTTGTACGCTCGGCAAACTGTATCTATACCTCGATATTTATCGTTGCACATTTTTGTTTGCAATATCTCTGCCCTGGCCTCGACGAAGAACGAGAGACATCCATGGTATCTTTCTTTATTGAGAGCGCAGATCAAAGAAACTATGTTCCGCCATATATGTCCGTGCGCTACGACACAATAGGCACTGAACTAAACATTGTTTTTTTTTGTTTTTTTTTTTTAAGGGGGGGGGGGGGGGGAGGAGAGGTGTAGCCTGTTCTGATGTTCATATGTTGTGACAGACATAATTTCAATCAGAATTCTGTTAAACAGTCGTAGCCTTGCCGCAGCTGAACGTTGTCAGACTCAGAAGCGGTGGCTCAAACTCCCAGTTAAAACACAAAAGTATATCACCACAACCACCACCCAAAGAATCATCAAACATTCATCGCCGTCAGCCCCGGCGACTTTGCTCGTTATTTCTGCCTTCTCATGCACTTCGTCGTTTCAGTGTCTGGGTAGAAAGAATTCAGCCCTGTTCGAAATTACTTTACCACCGCAACCACGAGGAGTAATGTGCGGCATTCACAGCGCCTTATATCTTCCATTGTCTCCTAGATTTTTTATTATTATTTTTAATTTCAGTTCTTAAAAAGTTCTCTCCTTTGTTTAATTTTTTTTTTTGCTTTCATTTAGACGATTTAACTTGTGTAATTTGGTGAATGGATGGTCGCTCTCCAAGCACCGCAGCAATGAGCGCTTGGAGCCATTCTCGCGCTGCAGCACTCGGGGATCCTGGGTTCAATCCCCACCCCTGCCCGTTTCGATCTGGATGAGCATCGTGCCGCCATACGGTTGTGCATAGCTACTGCGTGATGCACGTTCTAGACCCCAAGCTGGCAGTGGTACTGCACTGGCTAAATTTCTTATTTACAACGGAGACACTAGGACGCCCACTGATGCTAAATAACTTCCTGCTCTCTTAACATGCACATAACACAATTTAATTTACGTGCTCTCGTAAGAACAGCTGTAATTGTTTCCATTAGGGTTCCGTGCTGCCGAAATATGCATCGACTCCTTGCTTGCTTCTACGCAAGCAGTTTGTTCACAAACGTTTCACAGAATGCGCACGCGGACAAGCTTTTTCTTTCTTCGATCTAAGATGCATCTGTGCGTGCCGCTTTTCACAATTAGCACCATCGCCTTGAGGTGTGACGTAAGAAACATGAGTTGGTGTATAGACTATTCTAAAAAACGCCTTCTGTGTGCCGCCATCTTTGTCTGCTGGGCTGTGGAACGCGTTTATAGCATCTGCAGTAGCCATCTTCTGCAGAACATTGGACTCCGCGCATGCGTCCACAGCTCAATGACTCAGCATTTTTCGTCTGAGTGAGTCTCTGGAAAGATGTATAGCTGCTGGCCCGAAGGCTCCGGATGTGCACCGCTCTCTGATGGTAAAATAAAAAAAATGTTAAACCGTTCGCCAGTGGCGAATACGTGAATACTAAAATTGCAGAGGCCAAGCGAAAAAAGCCTAGCATATAACAATGCTATGAAAGTATAAAGGGATCACTTGATCGCCCCGTTGGGGCGTTCACGGCAGATTCCCAAGACGGCCACCGTGCTGCTCGAGTTCTTCATCAAGCGAGAGAGCAAGGTGTCCCTTCTGCGCGACCCCCTGTCCCACTTCTGCCAGGAGGAAGTTGTCCTCCATGCGCAGGAGTGTCTGCTCAAGCTCAACAAGCAGGTGATCAACTACCAAGACATGCGCGACATGGTCGAGAACCTAATCGGACTCCACACCATGGTGAGCCGTAGTTTGTCTCACCCGGCAAACGTAATAACGTTCGCGAACAAGGTAAGATCCGTGCGCCCTTTTGATGGCTCTGTAGGTACGCGGTACTTGACTCTTTAATACTCTATCTACAATATTTTACAATATTTACATTAGATGTGCGGAGTCCATGAACGGTAGCTGCGATCACATGGAGCTTATTATGTCACGCCGGTCGTTCCGTCTCTCGAGCTCGTTCTTGTCCCGCGGCACGGGCTTATCCTTGTCTTCTATGCGTACCGTGCAAATGGGTCCCTACACTAGCTCCCCCCTAGAAGAGAAGCGTAGTCCGGACAAGCTTCGAGATGGTGTCAGAAGTGGGATAGGGTATCTATCGGGTACTGTGATGTTGTTTAAAGCACGGTAATCCCCACAGGGTCTCCAATCACTAGATTTTTTTGGAACCATGTGTAGAGCTGACGACCACGTGCTTGAAGACGGCTGGATAAATCCAAGTTCGAGCATGTGGTCAAATTCCTGTTTTGCTATTTTCAAGCGTTCCGGTGCGAGACGGCGAGGACGGGCGAAAACAGGAGGACCAGTAGTCTTTATGCAGTGTGTTATGGTGTGTTTGACTGGGTTGTGTGCACTGCAAGTGCTTGTGAGAGATGGAAACTCGTGCAGTATCTTAAACCACGTCGTTGTTGGATTAGGTCGTAGTAACACGGGGCTAAGTGAGTCGACGTTAGATGCGATGCTTTGAACACTGATGTGAGTTTCAGAGTCCAGGAGTCGATTGTGACTTAAGTCGACGACAATCCCAAAACGACGTAGAAAGTCAGCTCCGATAATAGAATGGTGAACATCGGCCACAAGAAAAACCCAACGAAACAGCCTACGCAAGCCGAAGTCAAGTGTCAGAGATCTTTCCCCGTACGTCTTTATCGCTGATCCGTTCACTGCTTGGAGTGAGGGAAAATCACCACGTCGTCGGCGATCTTCTGGTGTTGGTGGAACCACGCAAACTTCTGCGCCTGTATCGACGAGGAACCGGACTTTTGTGGTGCGATCCGTAACGAAGAAGAGGCGGCTTGTCTCCGAGTCTACTACGCTTGCCGCCGCGGGCGGGTGACTGACTCGTTTTCCGCGAATGAGCATGGAGGATGACACTTTTGTGCTTGCATGCCAAACTTGGTGTGGTACCAGCATGTCCTCGGTGTTAAGGAGGAGCGTGGGCGACTGAATCGTGTGAAACCGCGTTGCGGGCTTCGTCCTCGAAGAGTTTGCTGCTGTGCTGAACGCAGGCTTGCTAGCTCGTCGGCGAGTTGATAAACTTTTAAGCAAAGTTGAGAAACACGGTCGTCTTCACTCTGCGGTCTGGGTTGTGGTCGAGTCTGGGAAGAGTTGGGATATACGGCAGAAATGCCAGGTGATCGAACTTCCATCATCTTGTCAGCCATGCGAGCTAGAGATTCAAGTGAGCAGGAGTCTGCAGTAGTCAGGACCATTCGGACATCTTGAGGAAGTCCTTGTAGGAATAGCTCTCAGAAGATGGAACGATCTAAGTTTTGTGCCTTGTCTCCTAGTAGTTGGTGCATTTGTAGAAGGAGTTCAGATGGCTTTCTGTCCCCAAGCTCTTCTGATGTTAGCAGCTGCTGCAGTCTCTGCTGCTCTGATGCGGTCATTCGCCGGATGAGCTCCGTTTTCAATCGGTCATAGGGAAGGTCGGTGGGGGGTGTACGCAGGATGTCACGTACTAGTGCTGTTGCCGCTTGTGGGAGTGCAGCGACTACATAGTCAAACATGGTACTCTGGGATGTTACTCTTTTCCGCCGAAAGGTAGCTTCGATGTGCAGGAACCAGAGCTCACTGTCCGTCACCCAGAAATCAGGAAGCTTCAGTGTTGCTGCCGCGATCTCTGGTTGATTAGGGTACCCAGAGATAGGAAGGCAACTTGTAATTGGGACGGCAGCAGAGGTAACCGTAGTGATGACGGTTGGCGGAGACGTTGTGACTGGCGGCGCAACTGAAGATGTCGATTGGAAGGCCATCTTGGGCAATCACGTCCGGGTCACCAATTGTAGGTACGCGGTACTTGACTCTTTAATACTCTATCTACAATATTTTACAATATTTACATTAGATGTGTGGATTCCATGAACGGTAGCTGCGATCACAGGGAGCTTATTATGTCACGCCGGTCGTTTTGTCTCTCGAGCTCGTTCTTGTCCCGCGGCACGCGCTTATCCTTCTTGTCTTATATGCGTACCGTGCAAATGGGTCCCTACAGTTGCTATCACGCTCCGCAAGCAATGCATACTACAGCAACAAAAATTATTGCGACACTCAGTGGCCTTTTTTTAAGAATATCTGGGATGCTATGGTAAACTCGGCCTTCTTGAATTGTCGTTTTTCAGACGAGACAGAGTCTGACCAAATTGCATGCTTCGTCAATTTGGTCAGAATCTGTCTCGTGCCACGACTTTACTTCATTTTACAGTTAACGCCGTGAGCAGTTAACCCCGCCACTCAATGTAGCCAATCAAGCAGTACCAAAAGCGCGTCGTCATGGCACTCGCCGTTGCGTTCGGCATCACCACCGGTTAAACCAATCTCACCCACTAAACGCGTCGTTATCCCGCACATTTTTTGTTGTGCTTGATTGCATCGCTTATCGCCTAGGCAAAAAATGAAAGCCGTTTACAACTCCCTGTAACGCCGAATTAGAGCGCAGCTCTTGAGGAGGAGGAGGGAAGGGTACTGGGGGGTGGGTCAAGTGACCTCGGGGGCGGGGGGTCACGTGACCTTGGGGGTCACGTGACCTTGTGGGAGTCACGTGACCTTGGGGCGTCACGTGACGTCGCGGGAGTCACGTGACCTGGGGCCACGTGACGATACCGATGACGTCATCAGTAGCGTCACTGATGACGCCATCAGTGATGATGATGACGATGCGGATGCCGGTGACGTCATCAGTGACGTCACTAATGACGTCATCAGTGATGATGACGATGACGATGCGGATGCCGGTGACATCATCAGTGACGTCACTGATGACGTCATCAGTGGCTATGACGTCAACGGGGGTCACGTGACCTCGGGGTATCCCCAGGTCACGTGACCCCAGGGGGGTCACTTGAAATGGGTAACCATCGTGACCCTCGTGAGGGTAACCCTAGTAACCCTCGTGAGGGTAACTCTCGTGACCCTCGTGAGGGTAACTCTCGTGACCCTCGTGAGGGTAACTCTCGTGACCCTCGTAAGGGTAACTCTCATAACCCTCGTGACCCTCGTGAGGGTAACCCTCGTGAAGGTTACCCTCACGAGGGTTACTAACCCTCGTAACCCTCGTGAGGGTTACGAGGGTAAGTAACCCTCGTGAGGGTAACTCTCATAACCCTCGTGACCCTCGTGAGGGTAGCCCTCGTGAAGGTTACCCTCACGAGGGTTACTAACCCTCGTAACCCTCAAAAGGGTTACCTTCACGAGGGTTACCCTCACGAGGGTTAGTAACCCTCGTAACCCTCGTGAGGGTTACAAGGGTAAGTAACCCTCGTGAGGGTAACCCTCGTGAAGGTAACCCTTTTGAGGGTAACTAACCCTCGTAACCCTCGTGAGGGTTACGAGGGTAAGTAACCCTCGTGGCCCTCGTGATCCTCGTGAGGGTAACCCTCATGAGATTAACCCTCGTAACCCTCGTAACCCTCACGAGGGTTACGAGGGTTGCGGTTACGCCGACGCCGACGGCGACGCCGCTCAAGCCGGGAACGGGCCCCTAAGAGCTGCGCTCTAAAACTGCTTATTCACTGACCTGTGGACGCATGTGCGGGGTCTAACAGACCTCGCAGCAGAGCAACAGCGCATGCTCAGAAGGCCTTCCACAGCCCAGCAAACAAAGATGGCACCGCGCAGAAGGCGATTTGTGCAAAGGTCTGTAGCCGTTGATAGCAAACGCAAAAAGGCAAACGAACGACGTGACGATGCTCTTTAGGCGCTGCTTGTTTGTCTCTTGCGGATCGTCAATAAAAGCGCGAAATTACTATTCCTTATGCCCTTGGCTAGACGTACGCCCACAGTATCGTCTTCCTGTACGGATTCTCGGCGTAAAGAATACAATACAAAAATAATTATCGTTGATTCGCGACAGAAAGCACTCGTAATGCCTATCACAAAAGCCCATTACCTCCTTCAAAAAGCATAATGCGTATCTTTTTTATATACTCTACGCGCGTGCTGCTGGAGACTCTCGAGTGACTTGGCCTCACGACGCAGTGCATCAAGAAGGATCCTGATGTGGCTAAGTCCCTCGGTGCCACTGTGCGCAAGCTGACCATCATCATCGGCGAGGTTGCCACCTCTCTAGAAAAGATCGCCGAAGTCCCCGTCACGGATTGGATGGCCATCGGTGACGCCATAGTTAACAAGGTCGAACGGGTCAGTATAAGTTGGTATTCCTATAAAATGCGCCTGGAGCGAAAGCTCAGGCTGCAGAACCCAGGATCCTGAGTTTCATCCCTACCCCTGCTCTTTTCGATCTGGATGATCATCGTACTGGCGTACGGTCGTGTATCACTACTGCGTGGTGCGCGTTGAAGACCCTAGCTAGCGGTTGTACTGCACTCGCTAAATTGCTCATCTAGAGCTAGACCACGCTGTAACCTGGACCACGGTAGAAAAAGGGAGAGATGTCTGAGCGGCGCCGCCTCGCCATGGAGCAAGAATGTCGAAGGTTCGTGTGCCCTTCTGAGAAGCGCCGTGAGGTTGCTCAACACGTCTGGGGTACTAGAAGGCCTTTGATAGCCACTCGAAGAACCATGCTCATTCGCGTACACTAGAGGTCGTCAACCTTTTAGTGCAGCGGGCCAAATCGCCCCGAAGAGTAGATGGAGCGGGCCGTAAAGAACAGGAAAATTTGGAAAAATAAAAAAGGGGGAAAGAAAGGGAAGGGGGGATAGACGGTAATAATTATAAACGAAAGTCATGTAATTTGTGGCAGGATTCCATCGAGTCATAAAAATACAAAGAGACCAAAACGAACGCGTGTCATGCTCTTTTTCTAGACTGCCTGCTCAACCTGCAGGTCAGCCCACCTATAATGTCAGGCCAATTAAAAGCGCAGAGAAAATTGTTTTCCTTGGACTTGGCATCGCCTTAATTTGCCATTTTCTCACTAGCTATTTTTAATTTAAAATTTTTAAATATCAACCCGGTGTTTTTAAAATATAGTTAGTATGAGGACACCATAAAAATACGGCAGAGCACCGCTGTAAGAGTCTACATTGCGATAAAAGAGATAATGTGGTTAACAAAGAGAGTTCTCAACTAAAATCCCAATACAGTACGCGTGTATGCCCAATTCCATTATATTTTTTGTACCCACCAATTCGCGCAAACGGACATCTGGGAGACTTGGAAACTTGTCGTCTCTCAAAACGGTAGGGGCTATTCAAAGATGTAGAAATTCGTTGTCATCACGCGCTCAATAGCTCTATACCTGTATGTGACTGTCAGGTAATCCGGCTATTAACTTTCACCACTAAAAATTACCCTGGTTAATCAATGGTAAACGTTGGCTTGTAGCCCCCCTCAACTCACACAACATCTTCACTGACAGCATCAGAAACGCAGGGGCGTGTCTTATTAGGTTGACGCTTCCTGCTTCCTTCTTATCGGCCAACGTAGCAATCCTAATGGCTCCGAAGCCATAACAAGATGCTCCGAACTGCATGGCCACGTCCTGTGTTTCTTAAGTTGACAGTGACTCTAACAGCACGAGGAGGAGCTCCGAGCAGGCGTGCGTACTTTTTAAAGAAGAATAACTATGCGGGCAAGCTGGTCAATAGCCAATTGCCTCAGGTGAAAAAGAAAACACGAGCTAATCGTTTTTTACTCTTTTTTTTCACAAGTCACGTGGCGATCTTTGGAATCACTGCGTATGGTCTTTGCTTTTCATGAAATGGTCCCCCGCTCGAAGGTTGTCGTTTATTGAGTTGTTGGATGTTGTTGGTCGCACCGAAGCAAGGGCATGAGAGAGTGTCAGCAACGACTGTGGTTCGACTTCAAAGAGCGAACGATCAATCGCGTTTCGCCGCGTGGAGTGAGAACGGCGGCTGCGTAGTACGGTAGGAACTGCGCGTTAGTATTAATCATACCTTTACTGCATTTGACGAAATGTCTTAGGCAGGTGGATCTTTTCTTTTTCTATCTAAGCCGATGCGCTAATTGCCGTTCTTTTAATCTTCTTCAGATGAACCTTCCGAAACAGCCTTCATTCGTCAATTTCATTCCGAAAATTCGGGACTTCAAGAATATCAAAATGCTCGGCGCTGGAGGCTTCGGGTAAGAAACAATCGGCTTCGCGGTGCACTTTTCTCGTTCTTGTTTTATAAACGATCGTGTCCAAGAGCTTAGATCAATATTATGTCGATAAAAAAATAATCGGGAAACCAAATGAGTATCATCAGCCTACACATTCAAATACCTTTCTGTCAAAACCTCGTCAAGCAACACTGAGGAAATTTTTTAACACGCACACCACAAACCGAGGCCCTGTTAACAGATTTAATATCTTGTGCTGTTTATACACGTGCAAATTGTATTGCAGCAATTAAGCTGAAATAGTTTTCACTCCCAGTGATATATCTTTTTATGCCAAATAGGTTTCTAAATGTCTCGAATTTGAAAGTATAAAAATCAACTCCTGCAGCATTCAATGCATCAAATGAAATTAAGAAACAATAAATCTTTTTCGGGTTATTGTTTCTTGTCAACGCTTACTTTTATGAAAATGGTCCTACGCAAATTTTTAACAATATGTTCTTTTTCTTTTTGCCTTGTGTGGCTGTCGTCACTAAAAAAAGAAATCAACAGCAACCCTTTTGCGTTAAAACAGCGATATCAAAAATATTGGCAATACTACGAGCAATTTTCTTTTACAATATTTTGCCACTAAGGGGAGAGGCACAACGGCGCATGCTCGTCGGGTCTCCTGCGGAACGACGATCGCTTCCCGCAATGCTTGGATAGAAAATGGCGTACCATTGCGATTCACTCGATTACCAGTGACCTCCGCGCTTCCCCGTTGTTCGGCAGCACCATGAGTTGTAGAGTGAATTTTACTACAGTGTGAAACGCGGGACATTTTGAAGATTTGGGAATTTTTCGCGGGACGTGGGACACGAGCCTTCAATGCGGGACAGTCCCGCGAGTCGCGGGACGGGTGGTCACCCTAGAACGCGGTGAGCACACCAGTCGGAGACGCTTCCTATAGCCATAGTGTTAGTTGGAGAGCCCCAGCCGGGAAGGGTAACTCTTCCCAGCTGCCAGGGCGTGATTAGGTAGAAAGGGGAGCGAGTAATGTGGAGATGGTTTAGAAAGGGACATGTCCCTATGCGCGACTCCAGCGAAATCGACGCCGCATAGCGGCAGCGTCGAGAAGCTCAGGAGATAAGGTCGTTCCGACTCTGCCGTCTGCTATCGATGCTTGGTTCCCGTAGGCAGCATAGAAACAAACATCGTTTCCAGTAATTATTTTTATGATTCCGCCGTGTCATTCCTATGCGCTGACTAAAGAAGGTTTCTACCGTCGAAAAATCGCTTTTATTTCGAATGTAACGCTGATTTTACGCTGGAGTGAAGGAATTTGTGGTGGTCCGCGTGCTAAACGACGAAAACGACCTCCTTTCGTCTGCCATTTTGCCTGAGGAGCGCGCCCTCTAAAGTTCGCTGGAGTCGCGAACAGCTAGTGAGGTTGTTAGTGTAGCCGAGCAGTATGTTCATTGAGGGTTACCCATGTTTCCTTCAATATTGCCACTGATGACCATGCGAAGAAGCGATAAATAACTTTAAAAACTAGACGTTACTACTTCGTCTCATTCTACGATAGACTAAAGGCAAAAGCTACCGACCGCCAGGTCCGATCACGAGCCACTTAGAAATTGTGAGCTATTTCGCTTCGATACACGTATTGGTGCCCGCGTATCGGATCACTGATGAGGGGACGGGTGCACAGTGGTTCGAATCGAAGGGCAATGAGTGACTCAACAATTTTACATCGCAAAGAAAGCCACGACGTACACGCTCTTGGCAGTGTCGAAGCTATAGAAATGATGCGACACGTTTGGATTCGAGCATTATTTGTCCACCACTAATCAGTGTTAAGCGTGTCCAGTCATGGGCACGTTACCAGTAAAAAGTAACAGTGTTACAGTTACAGTTACCTAGGGGGAAAAAGTAACTCTGTTACAGCTACAGTTATCGGATTAAAAAAGTAACGTGTTACAGTTACAGTTACCGCAGAAAGAGTAACGCCGTTACTTTCTCGTTACAGTACCAAAATTGGACACAAGAAACCATAAACCAAAAAAAAATATTTTATTTGTTACACTGTAGTGAGAAGAAAGATGAACTGCTGAGAAATTAGAAAACATTAAAACCGAAGGGTGCTTCTTTTTTGTGTCATTCGTCGTTTCAGAATTTTAACGATTATAACTTATTTGCAATATTTGTTAAATATGCAGATGGTCACATAATTACCTTATGGGATATACTCGAAAGCAGGCTTAAATATAGCAGGTCAAACAGCTTTGGAAGAATATAGGGGGAAAGGAGACAAAGTGAGGCCTTCTGGTGCTCTACGTGTGTACGACGACCACCGCGGCGCCTCTGTCTCAAACGCCAACTGTGGAAGATCAGTCCGCACACGCGCCTCAAAACAGCAATTTCTCTCTCTTAAAAACACGTGTTTTCCGGGTAATCGCTTCAGCTGGAGCACTGCAGAGAATCCACAACAAAACGTCTATTGGAGTATTTCTTGGGGCTGTCAGCGAGAAAGGCAATTTACTCGAGCGGTTCCGAAGAGAAAGACTAAGTTAAACAAGCGCCGACTTTCCGCCTAATATGGGGACGGCTTCCTTGGAAACTCATAGCGAAGAGGGAGCGGCGACCGGCTGGGTGTAAAAGCGACGTACAGCGCGGACATATCTGACAAAGAGGAAGGGAGAGGGGGAAGGGCAGACACAGCCCAGACGGAATACTCGGAGACATGTCGCATGACCACCGACACCCGCAGACGGTCCCCACAGAAGAAGATTGAGCCAAAGTCGGTGAAACACACATTGTTTGCCTCCCCTACCACCGCAGGCGCCGCTTCCTTAATCTCCCGGTTTCGTGCTCGCTCGTCCGTCTCGTCTATGGTCCGTCGTGGGCAAAACGAGGCAATTTTTTTTGTTTGTTCAATTTCTTTTTTTTTTGTCAGCCAGGAATTTTAATTTTATAGTAAAAAGTAACTGTAACGGCCTAAACAGTTACAGTTACCCAATAAAAAAGTAACAGTGTTACAGTTACAAGTTACCAGTATTAAAGAGTAACGCGTTACAGTTAAAAGTTACCGAAAAAAGTAACTAGTTACCGGTAACGCGTTACTAGTAACTAGTTACTGCCCAAGACTGAGCGTGTCATAGTATAGCGTGGACCGTGATTGAACCTAATAGCCCGTGGCTTTGGCTTTTAGTCCATCGTAGGATGACACAAAGTATAGTGGAAGAACTTGTGCCAAAATAACAGCGCTAGCGTAAAACTGACTTAGTGCAGCGTTCTATGGCTGTTTTAATACACGGTCTGTGTCAATGGAAGTTCTAATCCATAGCACACAGTAACTATCAAGAATGCGCTGGAACCTTTCTGGGAAGCAACAAACAGTAAAATGCAAAAAGACAGCGGGATTCGAAGCCGGTTCTCCTGCGTAGGAGCCGCGTGCGCTGCCCAGTCGGCCATGCGCGAAGAAAACTAATGAGAGAGTTTTTTTGTTTTTTTATATAGACCAACACGGCGGCCCTGACGTCACGCAGATGCGGCGGCGCCGTCGACGGCACTGCGCATGCGCACTCCCTTCACTCCTCCCGAATTTGGTGTCTGCGCACGCGCAGTACCCACACGTTGTGTGGGCAAACGCGGGCTTGTTTGTAAACATCATGTTGGTCTATTCGGACCAAACGCTTTGGGACTCCTAAGCAGCTTAGCGAGTCGCACTGCGAAAGCTTATTGGTTCCGCGGTGTCCCAAAGCGTTGGGGCCCCTTCTACTGAAGCTCTCTAATGTTAAAAATTTTACTCTGTGAGAGAGTTTAGACTCTTTTGAATAATGACACCTCTCCCTGGTCAAGAATTTTCAAACGGGAGGGAAAAAGTGAACGAAGGGGAGGGGAGCGAAGGGTCTTTGAAAACGGCGGTATGTTCTTTGAGAACCAAAATAAACTGCAACCTCCTACATTTTTCCTTCCGTCTTGGTTTCAGAGGAATGTTTTATTCTGAATTCAGCTTTCTAAATATTTCACTATTTATATACAATGTCAATTTTTTGTTGTTGTTGTTTTTTTTCTACTACCAGGGCTGTCTATCTGGCTAACTATCGGCCGGCCAACTTCATCGCCACCGTTAAGCTTGTGGCCATGGATCGCTTCCAGAGACACAAGCAGGCTGCCATGGACAAAGTGGTCGCATCCGTCATCAGGAACCCTTTCCTAGTCAAGTATTATAGCTGCTTTTGCGTCAAGGTGAGTGGCGGCCATCACAAACGATACTACTAACGGCACCGAGTATGCACATGCGTAGCATCAGATCAGCGAGTTATTTTTCGTCGCCCTAGCCAAAGGAAGTCAGAATATTAGGACTATATAGGGAGTATTCACTGGCAGCCATATCCGTGTGCGCTGCTGCTGAGCGCGTGCTGACGGCGAGCTTCTGCAGTCCTTTTGCAGCGTGAATTTAGCACCATCAAGGTTGCCGGTCTTAGCAGCCTATTAATCTGAGCTCGTTCTGAGCATCAGCTCTAAACAGCACCCACAAATATGGCGTCCAGTGAATACCTCCTATAGTCACTGCAAGGTGAGAACGGTAGGGAGGAGCTTCAGTTGTCCCACCTCCAGCGCAGGCTTCCTACTTTCGGCGACGCTACGGCGTCTCGTGCACGTAGAGGGTGCGCGCGCAGCCACAGCACGGCGGAGGGCAAAGAGTGCGTGCCGGAGGCCGGCTGTTCTTAAGACACGCCCTCCCGTTCTCATTCTGTTAACTACTATTAGCGCCGAGATGTTTGCATAGCGCCCTTTCATACAGGTTCCGTCCGTGACGTTCACAACCGGGATTTGTCTCGCCGTGACGTCACGACTTGAAATCCTGACTACTTATCATCATTTACGCACAGCTAGTTCGATGGCGCGTGTAAAAGGTCGGATGGAGGGTCGGGGTCTCCGCGTATTTAAACCAACACCGTCAAAGTTCATAGTCTGACACTGATTTTATTTCAACCGATGAAAGCATATATAGGACCTATAATCAGCGTTTGACCAAAAGACATATTACTAAACTACCCAAGCATCAAAACCAATGCTGACAATTTAGGTCTATGCACTGCGCGTGCGCGCCTCCCCTGAATAATAGATTCGACGGAAGTATCAAAATAGGGCTTTCACGAACGCGCACGAATGATACATTTGTTTTAGGCTTTTGCTTTAGAACAGCTACTGCTACAGACTTCAGCACGTGCAGCACGTTCCGTTCCGACTCGCCGCACACTGCTTGGTGCTCGGATAATTCAGCAAAAGGTGTAGGCAATCGCAAGCATGGTGTCTTGACTGTTGTCCTATGCGCGCAAGCACGTTAAACGTGCGCATGAACGTAGCTCTGTCAAGCTTGCTACCGCACGGGCGAACCCCCCCGAAATCGAAAGAGTCGCTGTGGTCGTCCTTCCACGGTTAGCCAAATGCTGAGTATGCCGTCACCAAAGCATTTCTTGCAGAAAGAAATAAAATTAATGTAACACCTTTCATTTTGACGTTGTTGACAGTGTTGGTTTCAGAGCGCTGTGATTTCAAGTTTTCACCGTGCTCATTACAAACGCCATCGAACTTGTCGTTAGCAAGGTAATGAAGGCACGAGAAGGAGTCACACGGAGGGCGCCACCCAAACACCTCGCCGCTTAAAGACTTTTCCAAAAAAGGGCTCCTGGCAGGAACTATTTTCAATGTTCGTGCGTATGGAGCGTGATTTGCTCGCTTTGCGAAGCGACAAACATGTGCGTGCTGGTCTGAGGACTTTTATATCTTCGAATGGTCTTATATTTTAAAAGCTGACACCGTTCCTATTCGAAGTCAACTCATGCTGGGCACGATGAACCGAACTAATTCTCAAATTAAGACGGCAGCTAAAGTAATGCATAGACATTCCACCAAGCACATTGCAACAATCGCATTTTTTTTTAAACCCGCACGTTGCCAAAAGTTTTATTTCGGCTTTATATTATCGTCCAAAGTGACGTATTACCTTTGGCATACTTAAAGGAGGCATACGTTACCATCATGGAGTACATCGCTGGACTGGACCTGATGCACGTCGTCACCAAGGAAGCGTATCTGGAGATCGACGCCGTGCAGATCATCATGGCTCAGCTAATCCTGGCCGTCGAACACATGCATCTGCGCGGCTTTCTTCACAGGGACATCAAGGTGTCGAAGTAAGTCAATCGACCTTGTCTCATTCCCAGGACACTGTGTACTTCGTTTCAGCTTAAGTACAGACGTAGCCGACGCTACGAGGTAATAGGACTAATCAAGCGGCGTCCAAAACGCAAGTGACTGGGCATTTTCTTTTTTGTTTATGATTTGTTCAGGGACGATAAAACACGGACATAAACATGACGAACGCCATGATGGTACGCATTTCAGGCTGTCTGATAGGCGTCGTCAACTGGAGAAAGGAATCTAAAACTTTGTTTTCCATCCGGCTGCTTTAAACATCCAAGTTTTCAACAACTGCATCAATCTTGTCATGCACACTAAAGATTGTGACTGCTTTCCCCGTGAAAAAAACAGGTTAAGTTGGCCATTTCAGAGTCCTCGAATTAGCGCGGACCGTGGCCCCTGCGGGGTCCGCAGATTACAGTTCGAGAACCGCTGTTTTCTAGACGCACACGAAGGTGCGTGTAACGCGATACGATATTTTTGGTGTGTCGTGCTTCTTGTGTTCCCGAGAGCATCTTGCTGTTGGCCCCGACACGTGTACATGCATTCCCTCTCGTCCATTTACAACTTTATTTAGACATTGACACCTCGGCGCATGCACTTAAATGGTAATTTCATCTGAAAAACTACAAACATCGCACTGTTCCCTGAGAATATTTTAGATGGCAGTCATAAAATATCAATGTGCAGTAATGTATTTAAACTTCTGTATGCGTTAAGGTTTTATTCTATGGCGCCACATATTTCGTTTTAGCATTGAATCTTATGCGAAACGAAAGTTCGTCTGCTTCTTGCAAAAGGGTTGGGATCATGTCAAAACGCCGAGCTCTTATTGGTTGATTGAAAAAAAACAATGGGTAGACCTCAAGGCGTCTAGTATTGAGGTCCACACACTTCTTTAAATCAAAGCCAATCAGAGCTCGGCGTCGTTCTGACGTCACCGCAACGCCTGCGCAAAAAGTAGAGGACTTAGTCTCGGCATAGATTACAATTCCAAAATTATCAATTTCTGCTTTTCTTAAAAAAAGATTGTAGTCCCGATGACTGTAATTTCCTGAATATCGTAGAACGCACATCAATTACAATTTTGATATTTCTCAAAAACTTTTTTTTCACGGAATGTCCCAAAATTTGGCCATGTACGGACTCTAAGCCCTGTACTTTACGTGATCGCGCCATGATGGTGGTCATTCCGAGTTGTTCTTGACAAGAAAGACAAAAGTAATGGTGCAATATGTGTGCTACACATGGGTCCGCGCTCAGCAGCAAGACCAACATAATGGCCACTGATGTGAGGTTAATGCAAGTACTTATACTCGGTTTTTTTATCGAGTGCACAACCAGTACAACACTGTCCAAGCTTCTGGCTCGAGCGTGTGGTTTTATCTTTCGGTTCATTACCACATATTGTTGAGAGTTGAGAGAATGGGACATTAGGTGAAGTCACACGCTCGCGCCAGCACATTAACAGCTTTGCACATTAAGTATGCAACGGAGTACAGGGAGTATTTACTGGTGGCCATATCCGTGTGCGCTGCTGCTGAGCGCGTGCTGACGGCGAGCTCCCGCAGTCCTTTTGGAGCGTGCATTTAGCACCATCAAGGTTGCCGGTCTTAGCAGGCTATTAATGTGAGCTCGTTCTGAGCATGCGCTCTAGACATCACCCACAAATATGGCGTCAAGTGAATACCTTATATAGCCCCACTTGAGAGACAAATTGCAACAATCAACGCCATCCAACTTCAAGCACGCGCAGTATGCAAGTGTTTGAGAGGGGTGCTCGTTGTCGGTGCATATGTACCCCCTTCTATCGCAAATCCAGAGCACGGAGTGAAGGGTCGAAGCGCGTTCGGTCCCATACGATGATGAAGACTGCGTTGAAACGATGAAGAAAATGTCGATCATTATATGCCTGTCGTTCATTTACCGCCGAATTCAGAAACCTCACTCAAACTACACTCAAACTGAAGGGCCCCTCCAGTTCCTCGAGGAAGGCGCGAGGGCCGGCGCTGGCCAATCGCGACGGCGGATCCGTCCTCGCGATTGGCCAGCGCCGGCCCTCGCGCCTTCCTCGAGGAAGTGGAGGGGCCCTTCAGTTTGAGTGTAGTTTGAGTGAGGTTTCTGAATTCGGCGGTTATTCTTTTTGTCTCAATCTTCATCATTGTGTGAGAGAAAGCCCGCTTCTACCACGCGCGCGATTGACTCTGGGCCGACTTTCTAGAAGCAGCGTTTCAGCTAAAACAAGGTGAAAGAAAGCACCGCCAAAGCTAGCGCACGAGCGTTTTGGCGTTTCAAGTCGAGTCTTAAGCGCTCGCACGTCCCAGGATTGTCAAGCATTTTTTCACCCAGTCTCAGCTAAGATGCAGTTTGTAGCAAGCTGCCCTGGACTTTTGGCAAAGGCTGTAGATACAATCGGCGTACCATATTGATTTGCGCTGTATTTATTGTTGATGATACCGCTACTTAGAGGTCGGTAGGTATGTCCACCTTTTCTACATATTCCCGCTGAAGCCGAATTCACTTGCACCTCCTGTGGAGCGGTCTTTCCATGCCCTGGCCAAAGCTAATTTTTGAAGGGCATCGCTTCCCCGCCTGGAAAGGAGCTTCCAGCTTATGAATGACCACGAAATGGTGTCTATGCAAAAAAGTTTTCATGATACCGAAAAGGTGATAAGGATTGTGAACTAGATCGGGCCGTACACATGCGTGTCCGAGCGCCCGACGACGATGAGGCCCGCGTGTTTCCCATGACTGTCCGTTCGGCGGGCATCGCGGGAACCGTGAGCCCGCGGCCCGCTCAATCACAATGTAACATTGGGGACTCATGTTTTCCAAAAAGCACTCTCGGATGTTGGAATAATCGTGCTTGGCAAAGCGTTGCCGAAAACCCGCGCGGCAAACGCTCTTACCGGTAACCGTCGGCCACGTGATGGGATACCGGGCGGAAAGGTTTTCCCTGAGCACCGAGTTCCCTTTGAGCACCAGTGCCGTACGTAAAAGTGGGCAAACCCTGAACGACTCCTTTCGTATATATTTGTGCAATCGATAAACGTCCCCACAGTGTTTATTTTAGTTTCGAAGAATTAATTATTGGTCACTGTGCTGGCACACTTCTTTGATGATGATGATGATGATGGTGATGACGATGATGACGATAAATAATAAAATACGTGATTCTAAGACGTTCAGTAGTCATTAAAATTGCTTATATATTTTAGACGGATATGGTCAGTGACTGCCCGCTCTCTGAACGACACAAGTTTTATGATATGACGATTTAAAATATGATTTTGCTCAGAACTATTTATAACGGTTATTAATATCATACCACATTAGTACCAAGTAATATTTAACTTATTCTTTTTTTTACTATCTATAATGTGATGTTCACATGGTCATGTACGTTGAAGAGTCAACTCCATCAAGAAGATATACTACAAGCTGGCGACAAGTTTCGCCGAGCAGCACTCACTCTGCACGTGGCGTCAAGGAGAAAAAAAAAATTGGTTTATTGAACAGACGAAGAGGCTAATCGAACTGAATGATGCAGGGGACGTTTATCGATTGCGCGCGAGAGATATCTTGCGATATACCCCGAAGCGCAGTATAATCTGTTTGCAGGGAGCCGTACCATGTTGCATTTCAAGGCTAGAAGGCAAGAAGACATTTAAAAAATTACCTATCGGGCATTTTATTGCAATCTGCAAAGGTATTGTTCATTCGTACGATGAAAATGGAGTTACTGAAAGGCTAAAAGGATGATGCAAGCAATCTGTGATATGCGAACTGCTGACAAAGTGTTGGCTTCTTTGTACTGTAATTTAAGATCCCGTGCCACTTTTTATGTCACTATATGACAAAACAAAATAAAGTGCACGTAAGAAGTTAGTTTACCATGACTTGGTTAAATAGGTGTGTTGATGACGCCATGGTAAGCAAATAAGTACGCAAAAGAACGTAATTGAAAAACTACTCTTTATCTGCAAAGAAAAAAAATGACCGCATCTCCACCTGGTGAATGATGTTTATTGGGGCGAAGCTCTGGTGGTTCTGATGATACTGATTTTGTTCATAGGTAGTGCCGATGTCAGAAAGAGAATATGTGGTATGGAACGTGGTTATATACGCATTTGAGCATTTGAGGGCAGCGTTTTCTCGTCTATAAACGTTGAGCCAATGCATGCAAAGTTTAACGGGATTATATACGCATTTGACCGCAGCGCCCTCTCCTGTATAGACGTTGAGCGGCTACATGCAACGTTTCATCCATGACATCCCCAGCTCTTGAGTTACTACCACATCCCAGAGCCCCTACTCGTCCCTCAGTCGTGGCCGAGTGGTTAAGGCGATGGACTAGAAATCCATTGGGGTCTCCCCGCACAGGTTCCAATCCTGTCGACTGCGCAAACATTTTTTTTTCTTCTTTTTTTAAGAAGACGGAGGGGATGGCAATCGATGTGAGCAGGGACGCCCGACCACGCTAAGGAGCTTCGCCCCTAAAAATATGATCCAATAAAACATACAGCCTTCGTCTCGAATTACAGAGTAGACTGAACCGCTTTCACTTTTTACTTTCATGAGCACGTAGCAGAAGTGTAATACTACACTCAGACTCAGCGAAATCCCTAAAATAGAATTGCGCTTGCAGTGCTATAATTGACGCTGTAAAGTTCGGCTCTCGTTTATAAAAGACGTCTTATGGTTTATTTATACTCAAGGGCAACATATCTCGCCCATCTCCAAGTCCGCGTGTTTATCTGTGTGCAGCATATGTGTCTGTGCTATATTGCACCCCAGCCTTCTTCCTTCTTTTCTTTCTGCTTTCCTCTTGTAGGGACTGGACGCACTGCTGAGTGCGATCAGTCTCAAGAATAAAAAAAGAGAAAAAGACGCGCCAGTCCCTCGCGCAAATCACGCGCAGCATCATTCGAATGTCTTGTTTCTCGTGAGGATCTCAAGCGAAGATGCCAGTAGCAGAGGTCACTCACAACAT